CAAAGGGCCAGTTTACTGTTCCTTCAGACTTTAGGGGGGCCGGACTGTGTCCAGTGGGGAGTAGAAAAGGTCCTGACGTCAGTGGGAGTAAACCATGCCCCTTTTTTGGTGTCAGTGGAAGCAATGGCACCCCATTGTTGGTGTCATTGTGAGAAATTGTGCCCCATAATTGATGTCATTGGGAGGGTTTGTGCTCCATTATTGGTGTCATTGGGAGGAATTGTGCTCCCTCGTTAGTGTCAGTGGGAGGATTTGTGCTCCATTATTGGTGTCATTAGGAGGAATTGTGCTCCCTCATTGGTGTCATTGGGAGGATTTGTGCCCCATAATTGATGTCATTGGGAGGATTTGTGCCCCATAATTTATGTCATTGAGAGGATTTGTGCTCTGTTATTGGTATCATTGAGAGGAATTGTGCTCCATTATTGGTGTCATTGAGAGGAATTGTGCCCCATAATTAATGTAATTGGGAGGGTTTGTGCTCCCTCACTTGTGTCATTGGGAGTTATTGTGCTCCCTCGGTGTCAGTGGGAGGATTTGTGCTCCTTCATTGGTGTCACTGGGAGGATTTGTGCTCCTTTATTGGTGTCATTGGGAGGATTTGTGCTCCTTCATTGTGTCACTAGTGGGAGGATTTGTGCTCCTTCATTGGTGTCATTGGGAGGATTTGTGCTCCATTTGTCAGTGGGAGGGTTTGTGCTCCCAGTCAGTGGGAGGATTTGTGCTCCTTCATTGGTGTCATCGGGAGGATTTGTGCTCCTTCATTGGTGTCATCGGGAGGATTTGTGCTCCTTCATTGGTGTCATCGGGAGGATTTGTGCTCCTTCATTGGTGTCATTGGGAGGAATTGTGCTCCCTCATTGGTATCAGTGGAGGGAATTACAGTGTTTTGAAAAAGTCTTCCCCCCCCCTGGATTTTTCCACAACCAAAAACGTAAATGTATTTTATTGGGATTTTATGTGATAGACCAACACAAAGTGGCACATAATTGGAAGTTGAAGGAAAATGATAAATGGTTTTCAACATTCTTTTACAAATAAATCTGTGAAAAGTGTGGCGTGTATTTGTATTCAGCCCCCTTTACTCTGATACCCCTAACTAAAATCTAGTGGAAACCAATTGCCTTCAGAAGTCCCCTAATTAGTAAATAGAGTCCACCTGTGTGTCATGTGATCTCAGTATAAATCCAGCTGTTCTGTGAAGTCCTCAGAGGTTTGTTAGAGAACATTAGTGAACAAACAGCATCATGAAGGCCAAGGAACACACCGGACAGGTCAGGGATAAAGTTGTGGAGAATGTTAAAGCAGGGCTAGGTTATAGAAAAAATATCCCCAGCTTTGAACATCTCACGGAGCACTGTCCAATCCATCATCCGAAAATGGAAAGAGTTTGGCCCAACTGCAAACCTACCAAGACATGGCCGTCCACCTAAACTGACAGGCCGGGCAAGGAGAGCATTCATCAGAGAAGCAGCCAAGAGGCCCATGGGAACTCTGGAGGAGCTGCAGAGATGCACAGCTCAGGTGGGAGAATCTGTCCACAGGACAACTATTAGTTGTCACTCCACAAATCTGACCTTTATGGAAGAGTGGCAAGAAGAAAGCCATTGTTGGAGGAAAGCCATAAGAAGTCCCGTTTGCAGTTTGCGAGAAGCCATGTGGGGGACACAGCAAACATGGAAGAGGGGCTCTGGTCAGAGGAGACCAACATTGAACTTTTTGGCCTAAAAGCAAAACGCTATGTGTGGGGGAAAACCACACTGCCCATTGAACACACCATCCCCACTGTGAAACATGGTGGTGAGTATCATGTGGTGGGGATGCAGGGACAGGAAAGCTGGTCAGAGTTTGATGGGAAGACGGATGGAGCCAAATACAGGGCAATCTTGAAAAACCTGTTAGAGTCTGCAAAAGACGTGAGACCGGCCGGGGGGAGGTTCCCCTTCCAGCAGGAAAACGACACCGAAACACAATGGAAGGGTTCAGATCAAAGCATCTTCATGTGTTCGAATGGCCCAGTCACAGTCCAGAACAATCTGACAGCTTGAGGGATTCTGCAAAGAAGAATGGGCAGAAATGTCTCTCTTAGTTGTGCAAAGAGCCCATAAAAAAGCAAAACTTGTAACATGACAACAGTGATTGTGGGGAATAATTGGCAGAAGACCCAACTAATTGAAGATTTTTGGCCTTAAAAGTCGGCCCATCACATTCGCTACACCCAAAACATTGTAACACACCATCAACCACTGTGAATAGATTGTAACAACATGGGGTGGCGCAGTATCATGTGGTGGGGACATTTTTCTAACATCAGCAGGGACATTGTAACATGACAAAGACATTTGAATACATTGTATCTTCTTGATGGGGCAAAGTAACTGACAACGGATGGGAGCCAAATACATGGGGGAATACAATTGTAAACAACAAGGGGGGACTTTTCAGGGAAGTAAAAACCTGACATTTTAGATACAGTCTGCAAACGGGGGACATTTTCAGGGGGGGAATACATTGTAAGACAACGGGGCGGAGGGATTCATTGTAATCATCCCCTTCCAGCATGACAACACGGGGGACCATGGGGTGAATTGTAACATGACAACACGGGGGACATTTCATGGAAGGGTAAACATGACAGATCAACATTGTAACATCGGGGACATTTCATGGGGGGGAATACTTTTAACAGAACACGGGGGACATTTCAGGGGGGAATACATTGTAACAGACCCAACGGGGGACATTTCAGGGGGGAATACATTGTAACATGCCAACACGGGGACATTTCAGGGGGGGATACATTGTAACATGACAACACGGGGGACATTTCTGCAGGGGGAAAGTAACATGGCATGGGGGGAATAGATTTCATGACAACACGGGACATCTACAGGGGGGAGATACATTGTAACTGACAACACTGGGGGCCACATACATTGTAACATGACAACACGGGGGGACATTTCATGGGGGAATACATTGTAACAAGACGGGGGACATTTCATGGGCAGGGAATACATTGGTAACATGACCACATTTTCACAGATACATTGTAACATGACAACACGGGGGACATTTCAGGGGGGGTACATTGTAACATGACAACACGGGGGACATTCCCAATGGGGGGAATACATTGTAACATGACAACACGGGGACATTTTCATGGGGGGACATTTTCAGGGGGGGATACATTGTAACATGACAACACGGGGGACATTTCATGGGGGGAATACATTGTAACGTGACAACACGGGGGACATTTCAGGGGGGGAATACATTGTAACGTGACAACACGGGGGACATTTCAGGGGGGGAATACATTGTAACATGACAACACGGGGGACATTTCAGGGGGGGGAATACATTGTAACATGACAACACGGGGGACATTTCAGGGGGGAATACATTGTAACATGACAACACGGGGGACATTTCACACGGGGGGGAATACATTGTAAACATGACATGACAACACGGGAGACATTTCATGGGGGGATACATTGTAACATGACAACACGGGGGACATTTCAGGGGGGGAATACATTGTAACATGACAACACAGGGGGACATTTCATGGGGGAATACATTGTAACATGACAACACGGGGGACATTTCATGGGTGGAATACATTGTAACATGACAACACGGGGGACATTTCATGGGGGAATACATTGTAACATGACAACACGGGGGACATTTCAGGGGGGAATACATTGTAACATGACAACACGGGGGACATTTCATGGGGGGAATACATTGTAACGTGACAACACGGGGGACATTTCAGGGGGGGAATACATTGTAACGTGATAACACGGGGGACATTTCATGGGGGGAATACATTGTAACGTGACAACACGGGGGACATTTCAGGGGGGGATACATTGTAACGTGACAACACGGGGGACATTTCAGGGGGGGGAATACATTGTAACGTGACAACACGGGGGACATTTCAGGGGGGGAATACATTGTAACGTGACAACACGGGGACATTTCATGGGGGGAATACATTGTAACATGACAACACGGGGGACATTTCAGGGGGGGAATACATTGTAACGTGACAACACGGGGGACATTTCAGGGGGGAATACATTGTAACGTGACAACACGGGGGACATTTCAGGGGGGGAATACATTGTAAAGTGACAACACGGGGGACATTTCGGGGGGGAATACATTGTAACATGACAACACGGGGGACATTTCATGGGGAGGAAGACTTTTCCAAGGCCCTGTATGCTCCATTGCTGGTATCAGTGGATAAACAGCACCCCAAGGGCCAGATAAAAGTAAACAAAGGCCCACATCCGGCCCCCCGGGCCACAGTTTGGAGACCGCTGGTCTAGAGGGAATGACTATCCATAAATCTCTAATATTTGAAAAGTTGGAATTGTGTCGGGAAGGCAAAGTGATCGCAGAAAAGTGACCGAAGTCAGAGTGTAGACTGTGCGCTGAGCATTGGGAGAAGGGCACAGAAGTATATCTAGGAGTAAGACTGCCATCTAAAGGACAGACTAGGTAAGTGCAAGGCGAACATATCCATGTGAAAAGTTAGAAGTGATGTTCTGCCTCACCTGTACATTTGTCCCGTCTAATCTTTACCTTCTTCATAATTAAAAAAAACAAAATATTTTCTTTTACAGTTTTCATGCCTGATAAAAATGTGTCCTCCATGCTGGGGAGCGGATAAGGGCCTCTTCTGATGGTATTCCAAAGTTAATCATCAAAAATCCTCCCCCCCCCCACCACCATTGCAGGAATTTTAACCTCTTCCTGACCGCCCTATAGCTGAACTACTGCTACAGGGTGGCAGTGGTGCGCAAAATCATGTACATATGTGTGATTTTGTATTTCCGGGTAGGGGGCTCACGCGCGCTGCTCTACTCGTGCGGCCATTGGCGGCTAAAGATGTCGATCACCGGCACCCGGCGATTTGTGAGGAACACTGACGATGGAGAGGTCTGTAGGTAAACAATATATAGCTCTCCACT